GAGAGACTGTTTTCTACTCAAGGCTATAAGTTTTAAAAATTTAAATAAATTATTGAAAAACAGAGGAGCTTTATAGCTGCCTTATAGACATAATTAATATTCAAAAATAAATATTAGATTTTATATAGTCAGTCCGTACCTGTATGCGTATTGAATGAATTTATTAGAGTCCTTGATCATGCTGACTGGTGAAACCTTGAGGGCTATAGGTCTTTTCTTTCATTTTATTTCATGTAAATTTGCTTGGTGTGGTATTTTTATTCCATAACACCTTCCAAATGCTAACATGATTAAAAATTCATTTATACCATGTTTACACAGTAAAAAAAGAGTCCTTACAGTACACATTAGACCCTAATAATCTACACAATGAAGTGATGCAGAAGACCACATGAAAGTGACATTTCAGTTGTATTCATTGTTGTGCATGGCTTTGTTGTTATATTTATATGAAATTAATTAAACCATTAAAATTCAATTGTTTGTAGTTTAATGTATGTAGTCATCTGTCCATCTGTCAGTTGAATTGTTAAATCATGATCCCAAGGGGTATTATGGGGCCACAATATCAGTGAAAACATAGAGGGGAAAAGGTTAAGAAATGTTTTTTAAACCACATTTAATCAAAGAAATGTCATAGCATCATCAATTAGTTTATTCAAGTTTCAAACCATGCCCCCTAAGTGGTAGATTGGGGCCAAACTTTTCAATACTGAATTCCTACCCAAAGTGCTCCGGTGAGCAATGTGGCCCATGGGCTTTTTTTTTTTTTTTTTTTTTTTTTTTACATTGCTTTAAAAGTTAATAAAAATTTTAAAATCTGTACTTTGTCATGATTATTGTAAAGATCATTCAAACATATCATCAGGTAATAATTGGTCCTATTTGCATGTTATAAAATTATGCAATATAACACTTTTATAGCTTTTTCAAAGGAATTAATAAATTTAAATCATAAAAAAAGAGATGAAAACTGGTTTTTAACCACTTTAAAGAAAGCATTTTTCTGATTTAGGATTGTGAAGCTACTACATTTACAGATTACTTAGAATGGAATATAATGGGGTTTATTCCCAAATCAGGGCCAGTGGGCATAAACATCTATAAGTATAATTGCCTGACGTCACGGCGTCAGGCTGTATAAGGATTGATAATTCCTTGATCCGAAACTAATAGATCATACCCAGAGAGCTAGATTTTGTGCAAGCTGATTTACATTGGAAATCTTTTACCTGCATTTTAAAAGAAACATTTTTCAGGGAAACAATGATTTTACTGATGCAAAATAATGCAGTATTTACTTTGTTTACTTTGTTTGCATGAAACATGAATGTGACATTTCAGTTGTATCTTTTTTTCTGCATTTCTATGTTATGTTTATAAGAAATGAATCGCTCTTTTCGCGCCAAATGTCACATTTAATCTTCGCGCCTTTTCTTGGATTGTTTGTAGTTTGTATTTAACTTCCATGGAATTAAATAAAGTTTGTTATTGTAACCTCCATCTTCTTATAATTCAGAAATTTGACATATGTTACATATCAGAATATGGACATGCAAAACAAAAGAAAGGTAATTTGTGGGTTTATTCCAAATTTTATCAGTGAAAACATTAGACGACCTGGGAAAACCTGTGCGAAATCTTGTTTCTTTTCCACAAACCACAGTTAATCAAAAAAATGTCACCTTTCAGAAAAAAAGCAATGAACACATCAATTAGTTTACATTAACATATGTATTTAACATGTAGTTATATCCATTCTCTAAAATGTTCACAATAATGATTTGGATTTAGAATAGGTGGCTTTAAATTTAGATCCAGGGGTAGATCAATCTACTTGCAGAGTTCGCATCATCTCAAGTCTTTTCTTCAGAGGTGAAAAACAACTGTGGCATCATCGGATGTTTAAAATTTTACATTTTAATTAAAAATAGTAATGATCATTCAAACATATAATCAGGTAATAATTGCATTGAATAAAGTTAACTCCACATTATAGATAATATATATACATTTTATGCTTTATTTCAAAGGAATTAATAAATTTAAATCATAGATAAGGCCCGAGGAGTGGGAAAAGAGTTGCGATTGGCAGAAATACATTAACCATTTGTTAACAACTTTCAGAATGCAGCAAAGCATTTTTCTACAAGTTAAATAATTAAATATTTTTGCATGTTTTAAAGATTATTTCAAACAAAAAAAGTATAAAAGGTTTATCACTTCTCCAATTCAGGGCCAGTGGGCATAAACTTTTTGAAAAGGTATAATATACTTAACTTTTGTCAGTGTAGCTGAAAAACAATCCGGATAAATCTAACAGTTTAGTTTTTGAATTTTACGCTATTTGTCAGAGTCACTCATATGTTTCTTAGAGTACGACTTATACATAGGGAAAGAAAAAGATTTGGGTGACAATGGTGCCAAATGAGGAATTATCTTGAGTAAACTGTAAAGAAGTATCACAAGTTATGATTTGATTTGGTCTCTTTCAATCAATTTCAAAAACATTCTTTGAAAGGTAGAGAAGTTTTTGTCTTTGTTTGAATCAAGTCCATTATGCTACAAACAGCAGAGCTCAAACTAAACTACATGTAAGTAGAACAACTATCATTACTGTGTGATTCACGATCAACAGTGTTCAATAACAGGTCACAGGACTGAGGAGTCGGCAGTTTTATCAGTAAAATAGTGAAAACAATAACCTGTGAGCTACGCTAGCGTAAACAAAGTCACATTATTTTTTACATTGTTTTTCTGATGAAATTGCCTGTACCGCCTCCAATGTCTTTTTTATATTCATTTCTTTCCCCCACTTGGAATATTAGATTAACTTTCAAACTTTTAATCCGTATTTGTTTACTTTTTCACTTACGGGTCAGTCAAAAAAAAACATAATTTAATTCCCTTCTTATCATGCTTATGCCATGTCTAATTTACATATGCAGTGATAAAATCTATTATACTATATAGCAATGAATTTGAAAAAAAATTTAATTAATTAAATTGTTACAAAGTTGATAAAAAATGTACATGTATTGTACTTAATTTATGTTGCAACTCCAAACAATATTTATTTTATAATTCTTACTTGATAATTACAAGCATTAAGAGAAATAATGTGGGTTTTTTTTACCCCACATAAAAAATTATGGGATAATAAACCCCACATTTTATTTTTAGTGAGACGTGGGTTAAAAAACCCCACGAAAAATAATATGGGTTATTTAACCCCATGGGGTGAAAAATAAACCCCATGGGGTTTTTGTGGGGTTTTTTGTGGGGTATTTTTAAGTTCATGTTTCCCCATGGGATTTTTTTTTTTGAACTCAAATATCTCAAAAACTAGCAGAAAATGTTGAATTTTTTTTTTCATAAATCAATTTGATTATAAAAACCCCACCATTTAAAAAAACCCTAAGATAATAGCTTTAAAGGAAAAGGGTGTGCAAGTTCGGAAAAATGTCCATTCCGAAGTTGTCCGTCCCACTGTTAGTGGTCAGTGAAAAAGACAAAAGGTGTCATTACTGTGTACCCCGAGTCACTGGTAAACAATCAATGGCTTTGAAGTTCTTTCATAATCGTGTTAGGGTTTTGAAAACCGATTTTTTTTAATCAAATCAAAGTAAAAATATGAAATTGAAATTGACAAATTAAAATTGTGCATAATCTGACGATTATTTTGGTATCCATCATGGACGTAAAATAACTGAAATTCGCTTTAATATACTTAAAGAATATTTTGTAACATAGTTTAGGATAGAAATATTTATACAAAAAACCCTTAAAAATCTAATTTTGAGGGATATAAATAATTGATTATTTTGTTGCAATAAATACAACAGTGGACAACATTAAGTTTCCAGTTACTGCCAATGAATTACGCCATGTAAAATCTGAGTTCTATGACATTGCCAAATTTCCAAATTGCGTTGGTGCAATCGATGGTACTCTAATATTAATTAAGGGCATGAGTGGACCACAGGAGCCTGCTTTTGTATGCAGAAAAAACTTTCATGCCTTAAATATTCAGGTCGTAAAGATTCCAATATGAGGTATAAACGGTATTGATTAAAACATAAATACTAGCACGTAGAGCAACTTGGGATTGTCAGGTGTTATGGAACATCTCGAAGGGGGTGGGTGGTTACTTCAGGATTCTGGCTACCCTCTCAAGGAAAGGCTCTTAACGCCATTCTTATCCCCAGCCAATCAACACGAAGTGAATTACAACGATGCCCATAGAAAGACTCGTGTTGTCATAGAAAAATCGTTTGGGGTATTAAAATTCAGATTTAGGTATTTAAACGCAATTTTTCGTTAAACATCTTTATATGTCATATTTGCAAGCAAATATTTTATTTCAAACGTTCATTACGATAAACGCGACCTTAATTTTTTTTTATTTGAAGAAAAAATGTATATCTGTTGCAACCATAAATAAACCTTGTTACAATTTTATTGTGAATTCATTTAAAATTCTGTGGGCCAATTTTCTTGTAGATTGTGGGTTTTTTGTGGAGATGTAATTTCGTGTATGGGTCGGTTTTAGATTCAGTAACAAAGAATATCTGTTTCTAAATTTCCTGTGAAGATGTAAATTCGTGGTTGTTTGGGGAGGGGGCTACCAACGAATATCACGAAAATTGAGCCACCACGAATTCTAATGATTCCACAGTATTTATATTCAAGTAAATCTTTGCAGGTGTTTACATCGAACTGGAGGAGTACTCCCCTTTCACCAAGTAGATGTTCTCAAATTATTCAATGCTGTATCCTGCTTCATAATTTAGCTGTTTCAGAGAAATTCCCCTTACTTGAGGGTGGGGTTGTACAGAACATCAATGACAATGCCGTGCTTAACGCAAACGCACCAAGGAGAGCACAGGATGTGCGCATTCAAGTTGCAAATTTATTTTAACAATTCATCTATTCATTAAATCACACACTTACATTGTAATAAAGAACATGACTACTTTATCATTTTGTGTTCCAATTTATTAAATGCCAAATTTGTTTTCAAATGCCGCCGCTATTCTCTCTAGGGCATCTGTTTTTCTCTCCTCTGCGATGGCTCTTCTCTTCTTCACTTCTATCAAATTCAGCATAAACTCAGCGTCAGGGTCGCTGGCCGTGTCTTGATTTTTAATGAAAAGTTTTATAATCAGAACAATGTCAATTGAAACAGAAGAATATCAAATAAAATCATATGTGTAATATGAATAGTTAAAAGTGCATGAATGAAGTTGAAACAGTTCACTAGGGTTTTTTTCTTAACAAACATAAAATTACGCGAAAATTAAAACTGAAGGAATGTTTAATACATTTTTAATTCATTTTCATAGCGTTGGCATTGTTTCTTTTTTACCTTTACGTTTGGATCCATACAGAGTTGAAGCAGAGAATGTGTCGGTGGAAGGCCCGGACACATGTACACTTGGAGCTTCTTCCGGAACGTCAACTTCTTCTACTATATACATGTACAAACATACAATTTTTAATTTGGAAAAAAAAATCAATATTTTTAATCTACACACTTATGTGTTCCGCGTGTGAAGAACATGCATATCAAATTTTTGACAATCTATTATAATAATTTTTATGAATTAAAATTTTATAAGTATATTATATAATATGTATAATATACAAACCAATCAAGGATGGAATTCCAGCGGAAGTTATCTGTTACAAAGAAATACTAGTATTTAGATATCATATATTTCATTTTTTTTTAATACTATAACTACTGTATACTACAATAATACTAAATATACAAAGCATAGAAAAGCATAGAAAAATCAAATAGTATATGAAGCAAAAGTCGGGAAGGCAACATTATGAGGTTATAGAAATACATGTAGTGAACGTATGTTTACAATGTACATGCATGTACCATGTATTTATACATACTTGTTTCAGAATTACTGGCAAAGGCAATATCAACCCCTCCGTCAATCCCAGAGATAAGTTCATCCGGTATAATTGACAAAATCTAGCAATAAAAACAAAAAAATAGTTGTTGCCTTTTTCAATTTATTAAAATAATAAACGGTGCGAAACATTAATGAAAAAATTATTATGTCAGTATCGGAAACTCATCTTAGCAACGATCGAAACGTTTTTTTTAATACATAGTACATATAATTATATCAATTTTAGGTAAATATTAGAAAACACATGCGTCAAGTTCCCATGCCTTGAATACAGATTCCGGGAAGACCTCCGCCCGTTCTCTTCGTCTTGTATTTTCTACTGGCTTCTTTCTTCTTTACAATGGATCTTGCATCTTTCCATTTCTTTTTTATTTCTTCTGTTTCCCTCTTGCACAAGGCAGAAGAAGAATTTATTCTGCAGTAAAATTTTAACACTAAATATATTTTTGAATCCCCAGTCTACATGTACCTTCATTTGTATTTTTTTTTGTTAGAAATTAAAAAAAATATACAAAAATACACAAAACCTAAAAAACATTCCTATTTTTGCCAATTTAGTTAGGTTTTTGACCATAAATATACATTATATGTAACATGTAGACATGAACAAATTGTATGTAATCAAATCGGAGTTGTTATTATATTTTTATTGATCGTTATTTTAAAAACCTAAATGCTTACTGCTTTGTGATGTCTTCCCATACAGCTTTCTTTTTCTCGTTTGTCACTGATGCCGACAGTTGTGCAAATAATACATCTTTGTTTTCAATTACACAAGATGTTAGAATTTTCATTTCATCATCAGTCCAGTTTGGCTTACGTTTTTTACTCTCCGAAGACATTTTGATTGTGCAGAGTCAATAGCGAATATTGCAGACGACAATATCGATATTTACATGTTTGTTTGTTACGAAATTCACATTATTTAAGAAAACGCTATGGAAATCAACATGACAGATCAGAGAGAGAGAGAGAGAGGTTTCTTAAATTATTTATTTCATTACAAAACACAGTTGCGAGTGTATTCTTTTCAAGATAATTCAATCTACGATTTATTTATTTTCAATCTAAATATGTTTCAACGCTTTTAAGTTTTTATTATAGACCTCAAAACAAATATTGCAATAAATAATAAAGAAGAACATGTTATCTTTTCCATATATCTTTTCAATGAATATCAAACAAATTTCTCTCTCTCTCTTCTCTCTCTCTCTCTCTTTATGATATGTATGCGCATGTGCATCCTTGCTCGTTTTCAAGGACGTAAGTCTGGCCTTAACGACGTTCGATCCTGATATTTAAAGTCTTAAACTTTTTTTGCCAAGTATATTTTTAGTTTCTAGATACATAGCTTAATTGAAATTGAAATCAAAAAATGGAGGTCAATATTCTTCTTTTAGCGCTACAGTACATTTAATATGACCTTTCTGCACTGAAATTTGTGTCTTAATTAAAAATTACATCTTCGACGTTTTCCCTTCAATATTTTTATCCAATTAAAGCATGAAACAAAATGAACTCTAAGTCTGTTTAAAAAAAGACACTTAAGAATTGTGACTATAAAAAAGTTTCAAATTACTTCGCATAATCAATTAATTGACCTTTCTGCACTAATAAAATGATATTTTTCCGGCATTGAAAATGTAATAAGCAAGAAAATTATTTTAAAGTCTTAAACTTTTTCCGATTTTAAGCACATAGGTCAAAGTTATTTTGAATATTTAGAAAAGAACATCAAAAGTGGGGGTATATGATGTACATTTTCAGATATTACTAAAAAAGTGTGAATTTTACGTTAAAGTTGGCTCCATTTTTTCCCGGATTTTCAGCATATTTCACTGCAAAAAACAGCTTTATGTGCAACCAGCATGGAAAAATAGGCATCCAAAGTTAACAGTACTGTTATACCGTATAACGGGTATTTTCTGCGGTTGGAAATTTTTACGCTTGAACCCCTAAAAGGTAGCAAATTAATTTTTGCGTTTTCAATTTCTGCGGTTGCACTATACTGCAAAAAATTATTTACGGGGCACAGTATAGGATCATAAAAATCTAAGATTTATTACAACACTGGCATGATTACGTTTTGTAAATTCACTCAGGCACATGAATGAATTCGAAAGGTGCATGAATACAGGTATTACGCTATTATACTTGATTAAACTACTACAGCTTTTAGTTACTCTTTGTAAAATTATGCCTAGTCCCCAATTGAAAATAATTTTCATTCTAAGCTAAAACAAACAGTTGCATAACCAACCACCCCAAAAATCACACGTGCCACGTGCATTGAGGCGTAACTAATACTGTCAGTCCGAGTCGTCTGATTTGAATGAAATTTACAAGACAAGCCATGTTGTATACACAAGCAGTTATTTTATTCACGGTCTCAAGACAATTCACAGGATTAATATTGAAAAGTGGAAAAAAAGAAAGAAAAACTGCCATATTTTATATGTTTTTGATGTCACCCGAATTTTCTCGCTAACGAAGACACATCCACGCATGAGTCTGCAGACGCACCACTTATTATACTTGCATGTATAAAATAAAATACTTGGTCATATTAAAAATATTTTGCGATTGTAATTTTTCGGATTTGTTTTATCCGCAAAATTCCGCAAAAATCGGACAACCGCAGAAAATACCCGTTATACGGTAGTTCAAATGGAAAAAAACTGATCATTTTCGTCTAAAAAACCTTCCGCCACAAAATATAGTCCCTAGCTTAATTCTACTTGAATGGAATTTAATCGCGGTTTTTTCATTAATTATAGTTTAATTTGCATTGTAGAATTCAGTTTTACTGTTAGAACCTAAAAATGATGCTTAATTTTATGAATAAAGGACCTGCGCGAAATACGCTCAAAATATCAGGATCGAACGTCCTTAACTTAGTCCGATACTAGTATTTACGGCCAGGCGTACGTCTCTTAGTGAAACGCAACTTACGCCGGACTAAAGTTTGGCGTACGCCCCGAGGCCTAACTTAAGTTTGGCTGGACCCGCTGCCTTTTAGTGAAACGGGCCCCGGAAAACAAAATTCTGTGCTTAAAAATAGACCACTTGCTGCTATCCATGAACTACTTTCATGGTTCTTTACACTCATTTTGAAGACAACGATACCTTGTTTTGAGCTTAAAATTATAATTTTAAAGAGCAAAATTTAAACATTTTCTCAACAAATGGTTGCAGAAAGAACATTGATGCACAGTTTGCAGTATTTTTTTGTTTTATTTAAGGCTCTGCTGAATTCTGTAGCTGCGCAGTTCTAAGGAGCATATCAAATGCATTTGACTGCAAAGTATAGATT